GCAATGGGTGGCTCGCGTATACGGACAGGACATGGCTGCGACAGGCTTCCCAAATCCACCTTCGCTTTTATACCCGTGGTCTCTCATCTTGATTACATGAAGTAATTTACTATTACTACTCTAAAATATGAATTATATCTGAAATAATCAAATACATGACATAGAATGATTAATAGTATGTATCTGTATGAAATCAATAAAAGGATCAAGTACTGCATTATCTTTAGTTACATTGATAATATGTATAAATGAAGCGGACATACCTGAGTGGGCGCGATCTAATCCTGTTTACATAAAGTAAGCCTGCTCCCAAGCAGGTTTACTCTTACGGATCTGTTGCTATGACAGCAAGTCCCGGATGAGCTTCGGAGATCAAGATCACCAAGATCACGCGAAATCGTCAACAATCAAATCCAGCTAACTTACTTAGCGAGGTACGAAGAACGGACCCCTGGTCCAGGCTGCGTGGACAGCTGACAGTCAGGTGACGAGTTTTCAGACGTAAGTGGTTAAGGTCAGGGGTCAGAGATATTTTGGCTTAACGGGAAGTTAGATGCTTTCAGAATAAAGGTTTACAACAGTATCAAGATTCTTTATTTGTCACATGCATAGTTATACGAGCACAACACGCAGTGAAATCAATACCAGTGTCACACACAGCTCCCACCTACTAACAGCTGAAGTCGACACAGTTCGTCACACTGAACAACACTTTAAGAGGAAGTTCAGATGTCAGTAAAGCTCCCGTTTCAACAACACTGAAGTATTAAACAGTCACACAAACGTTAACTTGGTCGGCGTACATGTTAGCATTAGCTGTTTAACTGTTAGCAGTGACCCCATAATCACATTGGCCATCTGTTACCATTAATGTACAGTTAGCAGACTTATCGCAGCTGAACGGGTCGTGGATGCAATGAGGGCAGAGCAGCCAATCAGACGCTTTCAGGCCTGACGAGCAGAGCCAAGAGAGCCGAGCGAGGCTGCAGGCTGCAGGCGGACGCGGACTTTTCTATTTTAACATCGTTTATTAAAATGTTTTTGTAGCAGCTGTAAGGTCAGTTTTAAAATGCTCGCAGTCATCAGTTCAATCGTTCACAGTGAGCGCTCTGTTATACATCTTCTTTATTTCAGCATAAATAACGCCGCTCTCCATCCATACTTAGCCCTTGCCCATAATGCTCTTCTTCTAGAATAAATAAATGATTCGGGTGTGTTACTTCTTGTGTTTAATCTAACGAATAAATTGGAGCTTTTTTGAGAAACGACGTCTTCGTCGTTACTTGTTTCACAGGGCGGGCTGAAGACAGCAGATGTGACCCTCCAACCGGTCTGATTGGATTCGGGTTAAAGTTTATTGATCAGGTCTTTTCACACTGCACTGATAGGGGTTTTATTGATCACAGTCCAATCACACTGAAGTTTAATAAACTGGCAAACTATTCCCTGTCTGGTCTTATTGATCAGTGATGAGTTCCGGTGATGAGTAATTGATCAGTTACTGAGTTCAGCTCAGGCTGACCTGTAATTCCTAATTAATCGATTATCAACCCACGTCAATCCGCAGAGCATCGATTATTGCCCACCATTCGTCAGTTTGCCATCATATTATTGACTGGTCTATTACTCAGTTTTGGTATCGACAAACAGGAAGTTCCTGATGCTAAATGTTAGCACGGAAAAGCTAAGGAAGAGACACAACGTATAAAAGCAGAAGCGAGCTCCTCCCGAAACTCACCTCCGATCACTGACCAATAGATCCTTCTCCCGCTCCGATCTCTAATCGATAATGTTTTAACTTTGAGTTGAGAGCCGAACTTCCTTTTCTTCCGCTGTTAACGCACTTCCTCTTCTTCTGTGGTGCAACAGGGGACAGAGTGAATCAGTGACACCTGCTAGAGGAGAAGAGAACTGCAACAACAAACGCCTGAAATCTGCGTTAACGCACCAACTGTTAATTTATACTGAGCACTGAAAAGGTTTTACACAACCGCGCAGAGAGCGAGAGAATAGAATAGAAGAGAATATTCCACTAAGGAACTAGAAGTTAATTTGGAGAACCAGCTTCAACAAAACAACGTTGGTGAGGTCTGGAGAGGCCTCAGAACCATCTCGGGCCACAAACAGCAGAACTCTCTGCCTGGGAGGGATGTGAG